AAAGGCAACTAGCATGCAATCCTAATGCAATGCGACCTAACCATGCAAACATGCAAGGATGAGATGCAAACATGCTACTAGCATACACAATGCTATAAACTATATGGCATACACAATGCGACTAACAACCTAGCATATGCAATGCACACATGAAGATGGACATACACAAAGGCATAGTCAAAGCATACACAATGCGATGGTCAAACATGCAACAACATGAACCAAATGTCATACACAATGCAAGGTGGACTTAAACCAATATGAGTGGTCCTCAGCCACACTCAAATCAGTGGCCATGTGATGAAAATGAGACAACCAAGATACATGCAAATATGTCACCCAATGCATGCTAGATGGCCCAGGTACCGAAACTAGTGAAGTGCATTACACTAAAGGTACCCAAAGCAATACACAATTGGCAAAACCAACCCCAAACAAACCCTAGGCAGGTCTGAAACAGTGGGAAAATAGTCTAAAATGATGGCTCAATATGCAAAGAAATGAAGCTCTTTCAATGGTCCGAAAACAAGGCATTCATGGACATTCATGGACTTAAGGAGTAGAAAACATGAGAATATGGCATTCATATAGGCTCTAATATATGACGTAAAATGGCCCCAAGGCATGAAAACACCTGAGTATATGCATGCAATAGACCTCAAATCTTAAAGCTAGGGATGGACATTGAACTACAAGTATGCAAAACAAGCATCATTCGACCATGAGACCCAAAATTAGAGCTAGGGCAGTCCAAAATATGCACAAAATCAGTTTAAGGCATGGCCAAAAAGTGCTAACATGAAGGGTCAAAACAACATGCAACATAAGCTAGTAAGCATGGTTTACACTACATGTATATGAAGCACAAGAGAGGTCACCAAACCAGCCAAAAACAGAAGTATGCCATGCCAAAATATGCCCAAAAACTCATTGAAACTTAGTCAACACATGCAAGAATGAAGTGCTCCTTTGGACGGCCATGCAAGGGGTTGTTCTACACATGCAAGATAGACATCAAGAATGGCAAAACCACCTCTGGGCAGAGGTTATGAGGGTCCTAAAACCCACCAAAAAAGGCCTGGAATGAGGCTAGGAAGCATACAAGTGAAGGCCCCTTTAAAAGGCCTTGTAGAGGATTACTCTACACACGCATAATAGACATTTAAAATGGCCAAAAGGGCTCTGGACAGAGCTTATGCAGGTCACAAAACTCACAAAAAGGGCCTGAAACATGACTTCAAAACATGCAAATAAGGGGCCCTTTGGAAGGCCAACAAAGCTAGTAAGGAGAACAAGGGGTGAGAGGGTCACCCCTCTATGATTTTGAAGTTCAAAGACACATGTTAGTCACTGAAAATCCACTAGATTTCATTGGCTAAAAGGCCAAACCAAGCCCAATGCAAATGCTCAAATGCATAGCTCAAAACATGAGGAAATGAATCATGGAAGGGGGTAGATGGCCCCCAACAGAAAAATGACCTTAAGCAAACATGTTTATAAGCTCAAAAGAAAACTTTTTTCAGTTTATGTTGAAACCCAAAAATGCTTTCAAATATGGCTAAGATATGAAGCAAAATAATGCAAGAAAAAGGGAAATAGGGGCTTACCCTTGTAGAGCCGACCCTCAGCAACTTCTGGACCAAGGTAATGAGCCTTCAACCTCTGAAAATCAGTTCCAAGGTACTTGGATGGATGGTGGAGGTGTTGTGCTAGGAGGTGTAGTGTAATGGGTGCAAGAATAATGGGGTTTGGAGCTTAAAGAAGAGAGCTATGGAGGGAAAAGTGTATAAGCCTCAGCCAAAAATTTCTAACCCTTGCAAAAGGAGAGGAGACCCTCTCTTATAGAAGACAAAGGGCCAAGGCTTCTCTATGAAGCTTCAACAAAGGGTCAAAGCTTCTAAAAGAAGCTTAACCAAAAGGGTTAAGCTTCTTGAGGAAGTTAGACCAAAGGGGTCAAGCTTCCTCAAGAAGCTTGACAAAAGGTTCAAGCTTCTCCTAAAAGCTAAGCAAAAGGACCAAAGCTTCCTTAAGAAGATAAGAAAAGGGGCAAAATCCCGGAGGATGGGTCAAATGCTTCCCAGCTGGCACAGCTGTGTTGCACTCAAGAAGGGCAAAAAACAGATGGCTGGCCGACCAGTTCAAGTGGTCGACCGACCAGCGTTCAAAAAGGTCAAGAAGAAAAGCTGGTCGGCCTACCCATATTGGCGGCCTCCCAGATGAATGCAACACAATGGTGGTATGGGAGACCAGAAATTATGGCCCAAAAGTGAGGGAGACCAACTTTTCTGCAAGGTTCAAAAGGGCCAATCACAAAAGGTGGTCAGCCTACCCATATTGGTGGTCTCCCAGATGAATACAACTCAGTGGTGATATGGGAGACCAGAAATTATGGCCCAAACGTGAGGGAAACCAGTTTCCCGACAAGAAAACTGGCTAGAGGAGAGAGAAAAGTGGTCTCCAAGGAGAAAACTGGTCTCCAAGAAGAAAATGTGGTCTCCCACCCTTGTACCACCTTCCTAACAATGCCAAAAATCAAAACTAACCGATGCAAAACGAGGGTTCGGGGGCCAAAACGCGCAGCTCGGGGCCCCAAAAACTGACTGTTAAGCATCAAAAGTGGCGTGCGACCATGAAGGTAGTCTCCCGGGCCACAGTGTCCCTCTAAGGAGAGGAAACAAGGTTTGTGCCAAAGAAATCAGAGCAAACAGAGGTAGTTAAGCGGTCCCGAAATGAGGCACACGGCCGACGACTCCGAAAAGCGGAAACTGGTCTCCAAACAGGAAAAATGGCCTACGACCACGAAACGTAGCCTACGGCCACTGAGAGATAGTCTACAAGACCTCTCCCTCCCTTCAGAAAGAGAAAAAAAAGAAAATGGGACCTGGTTCTCAAATCGAGGCAAGGCACGAAAAGGTTCCGAAGCCCGGAGGCAAGGCTCTCAGCCGAGACTTTGCAACCTCAAAACGAGTACAATATGCAACATCACCGAGCGCTCAGTTGGTGACGTCTGAGTCTTAAGGTCGGTCAAAAATGGGGTGTCTGCAGTGACTGGTTTATTTTTTCCATTTCTTGTGATTAGTGGATTTTCAATGGATTTGCTAGATTTGGACTCTCATTCTGTTTCATATTGCACTCGTGAAACTAGACTCGAGGGTTCGAACTGTTGGGCACACTTGGACACCTTGTCTAGGAGATCCTAAAGCCTTATAATAGGAACGATTTGGATTACCAAATTAGGGCTACAGTGGGCCCACCAAGCCTCAAAATAGCTCTGCGGATGGATTACTAACCGGAGAGAAAACATCCCTAAAATTTAAATCTCTCTGTATCACTCACACAGGCATAGTTAAAAAAGTTAATCTCCAAATCCTAATTTGCCAAGGCTTGCATGTTTTCTTCTTTGGTTTTATAAGCCAAAAATCTGTTTGGCATGGCTTGTAGCAAACCAAACCTAACCAAGCCTTAAATCCCATCAAATTTGATTAGCTACATGGATCATTCTTCACCATTTGACTCTATCCAATGCCATATCGTTAGTGAAATTAAGGAAATTCATATATTTATTTGCTACACTAGCCTATGTCAATTTAGGTATGCCTTTCTCATAACACTTCCATCTGCTGTCACTATATCGTGTCTCTTCTCTATTATCTCTGTCGGTATATGACAAAACCATCTCAATCTATTCTCCCTTAACTTATCTTCTATCGGTACTACTCCTACCCATTCTTGCATATACATATTCCTTACTTTGTCTTTTCTAGTCTTGTCACACATCCACCTAAGCATCATCATCTCAGTAACTCTCATTTTATCTACATGTTGTTTCTTAGTTGCCCAATATTCCCTAACATACAACATCATTGGTCTAATAGCCGTTCGATTGAACTTCCTTTTTAGTCTAGTGGGCATTCGTTTATCATACAATACCCAGATGCACTCCTCTACTTAAGCTACCCCGCCTTGTAGACCACTTCTGCTCCAATCTCCCCAACTGTGGTGCTAATTGATCCTAAATAACAAAAATGTTCGCTATTTGGTAGTGTTTGGTCCTCAATCTTCACTTCTCATCTGCTTTCATTGTTACTGTTATTAAAATTACACTCCATGTACTCTATCTTAGTTCTGCTTATGCTAAATCCTTTATATTCAAGTGCTTCTCTCTAAGTCTCTAACTTAGTGTTAAAGTCTCATCTACTAACACGATATTCTCCGCAAAAAGCATAAACCATGGCATATCATCTTGAATATTTCTCATCAACTCATCCATAACTAAACCAAAAAGATAAGGACTTAGGGTTGATCATTGGTGTAACCTTATAGTAATTGAAAATTCACTTATCTCTCCAGTCAGAGATGTAATAGTGGTTATATCCCCAATCACATCAATGTAATCTTTTGTCACTCCTTTCTTCAGTAACACCCACCATATTTTATCCCGATGCACTCTATCATGTTTTACAACGGTAAAATTATAAACTTGATAAATTCAATTAGCTAATCCAAGAAACTCAATGATCATTTTTATATTTAAAAAAAAAGAAAAAAAAGAAACCTAATGGCGTTTTCAATTAGATCAAAATGGTAAAAATTTTAAAATTAAGAGCCAAAATTGAACTAATTAAAAGTGTAACAACCAAAATAACATAAGAGATACTGGTCTAATTTGCCATAGGTTCTAAGTAGTCTAGTTTTTTTAGTCACAACTTTCACTAATTATTTTTAGAGCAAAAATCTGTTTCTCTTTTTTTTTTCTTTTTTTTTTTAAAGAGAATTGGACCTATATATTTCACTGTGTAATAAATTAAAAGTTAACACCGATCCTACCTTATTATTGTTGGTGAAATTGACATAGTATTTTTTGGGGTCTCCAATATTTTTGTTTTAGTTAACATGTTTCTCTTGAAACATTAGTCTCTCTCTAACCAATCTGTTTTACAATGAATTGCCTATGAACATATCATTGTAAAATTTAAAGAATAACAAGAAGCAGAAAAATAAGAAAGCAAGGACATAGTTTTCCTTACTGAAGAAAGTTTCTTTTTATTCCAAATATCAGCATTTAGAGACATATTGATTGAACATATAAGAAATCAAATAAAATATACTTGAATACATGAGTGCAAGATGAAATCATCATAAAAGAAATTTTGAAGCATAAAGGTTGTTTCAACCATCCTTTTTCTTTTTCTGGCGGTTATGTTTGAGCTCAATCCTCGCCAATATAGTATCATTTTCCTTCTTAGAACAATTACATTTTTTTCAGTAATCCACGATCTGCCAAAAGAGGAAAAAAGAAGAAAAAACCAAACAAGAAGATGATGAGAAGAATTGGATACAAAAGATCAATTTTGTTTTTCCTTTTCAGGTAGAACATAAACACATTACACTTACATGAGCCGATGACTTGTCATTGTTTACTAAAAGGGAGGAGGTGGAGGAGATTTGTAAACATAAGGTGGAGGTGGAGAGGGCGATGGTGGAGGTGGGGATTTGTAGACGTAAGGTGGAGGTGGTGAAGGTGAAGGTGGTGGTGGTGATTTGTACTCATAAGGTGGTGGAGGTGATGAAGATGGTGGTGGAGGGGATTTGTAGACATAAGGTGGAGGCAATGAAGGTGAAGGTGGTGGTGGTGATTTGTATACATAAGGAGCCGGGAGTGAGGGAGATGGTGGTGGTGGGGACTTGTAAACATATGGTGGAGGTGGGGAGGGAGATGGTGGTGGTGGGGATTTGTAAACATAAGGTGGTGGAGGTGATGGGGATGGTGGTGGTGGGGATTTATAAACATAAGGTGGAGGTGGTGAAGGTGAAAGTGGTGGTGGTGATTTGTACACATATGGAGGTGGGGGTGACAGGGATGGCGGTGGTGGGGACTTGTAAACATATGGTGGAGGCGGAGAAGGAGATGGTGGTGGTGGAGATTTGTAAACATAAGGTGGTGGAGGTGATGGAGATGGTGGTGGGGGAGATTGATAAACATAAGGTGGAGGTGGTGAAGGTGAAGGTGGTGGTGGTGATTTGTACACATATGGAGGTGGGGGTGACAGGGATGGTGGTGGTGGGGACTTGTAAACATATGGTGGAGGTGGGGAAGGAGATAGTGGTGGTGGAGATTTGTAAACATAAGGTGGTGGAGGTGATGGAGATGGTGGTGGGGGAGATTGATAAACATATGGTGGAGGTGGTGAAGGTGAAGGTGGTGGTGGTGATTTGTACAGATATGGAGGTGGAGGTGACGGGGACGGTGGTGGTGGGGACTTGTAAACATATGGGGGAGGTGGGAAAGGAGATGGTGGTGGTGGAGATTTGTAAGCATAAGGTGGTGGAGGTGATGGAGATGGTGGTGGGGGAGATTTATAAACATAAGGTGGAGGTGGTGAAGGTGATGGTGGTGGTGGGGATTTGTAGACATAAGGAGGAGGTGGTGATGGGGAAGGAGGAGGTGGGGAGTTGTAGTAGTAAGGAGGAAGAGGTGATGGAGATGGTGCTGTTGGCCATTTGTAATGGTGTGGATGATCGTGTTGGTCATGTAGCGGCATTGGGGATTCGAAATGGTGTGGGTGCTCGTGTTGCTCGTGTGGTGGCTTTGGGGAGTTGTAATAGAAAGGTGATGGTGGTGGAGATGCATAAGCGTAAGGCTTGTGGTCAGCTGCTACATGTGTAGCTAACAAACATATTGCCAAGGCCCATAGTGCCATTGGCAAAGAAGTCGCCATTTTCAGAAGCACTTCTTAGGCTTTGTTTGTAATACCCAAAGATTACTACTACTTGATACTTCTAGAAAAGGAATGCAAACCCTTTTTATAGCCCTTCAATCAGTGAAGGTATTTGTTTAGTAGTTGTTTGAAGCTGTCTCCATCTTAACAAATTATATTCCTTTAACAACTGGACGTGGGTTCCCACTACCTATATATTTTGTGTACAAAGCGAAGATTTGTAAACATAAGGTGGTGGAGGTGATGGAGATGGTGGTGGGGGAGATTTATAAACATAAGGTGGAGGTGGTGAAGGTGATGGTGGTGGTGGGGATTTGTAGACGTAAGGAGGAGGTGGTGATGGAGAAGGAGGAGGTGGGGAGTTGTAGTAGTAAGGAGGAAGAGGTGATGGAGATGGTGCTGTTGGCCATTTGTAATGGTGTGGATGATCGTGTTGGTCATGTAGCGGCATTGGGGATTCGAAATGGTGTGGGTGCTCGTGCTGCTCGTGTGGTGGCTTTGGGGAGTTGTAATAGAAAGGTGATGGTGGTGGAGATGCATAAGTGTAAGGCTTGTGGTCAGCTGCTACATGTGTAGCTAACAAACATATTGCCAAGGCCCATAGTGCCATTGGCAAAGAAGTGGCCATTTTCAGAAGCACTTCTTAGGCTTTGTTTGTAATACCCAAAGATTACTACTACTTGATACTTCTTGAAAAGGAATGCAAACCCTTTTTATAGCCCTTCAATCAGTGAAGGTATTTGTTTAGTAGTTGTTTGAAGCTTTCTCCATCTTAACAAATTATATTCCTTTAACAACTGGACGTGGGTTCCCACTACCTATATATTTTTTGTACAAAGCGAATAAACACTGAATATGACCAATTCTGATTTGGGGTTACATAATAAAAAACTTGCCAATTAGTTGACATTGAGTGAGCCCTGGCTGCAGCTGTCTGAAATGCGACAGGGTAGGAAGTGATTTTAGTTTTGTAATATATGTATATATATATATATAAATGATCATGATGAAGATGAGTGATTGCTAGGAAAAATGGCATTGACCTTGGCAATGGAAGCATTGTTTTTTGCAATTGACAATTGGTTCCGTGTAAATAAAAGTTTCCAACCACCCAAATTTTTAGAGCGGCTTGATCATCAAACAACATTTGGCACAGAAGCTCAAACTTGGAAGAGTTGTGCAGGACACCAAGTTTGCATCTCATAAATCATGCCTTTGGATTCGATGTGGCTCGACTCTGTATTGATATCTTGGTTTTGTGAGATCTTTGAAGGATTTTGACCTATCAAGTATGGGTATGGGCATGGGTATGAGTGTTGATATTGGTACGATACGGGTAGGTTAATACGGAAAAATCCAAAAAAAAAATATGATACGAGTACGGCTTTGTATGTTTCTAAAAAATATTATTTTTAATTTAGAGTAATGTAAAAATTGATTAAATAGTTTTATTTGTTAAGATCCAACTTACAATTAACATTTAATGTCAAAAGTAAATGTACAAATCAAAATTAAATATCAATATATTAAATAAGTTACAAATCATAGTTTAATTTTAAAATAATGCTAAGCATAAAATTATAAATAAAATGAAGCCTAGTGAGAGGAATTTTATGTCTGTAGTAAAAGAAAAGATTATTTCAACTAAGGTAGGATACAACTTGGTTACATATTAGGATACGTCTGGATACGTCAAAAATTAAGAAAAAAAAAATTCAAGTACGTATTTCATGTATTCCATACGTATACAAAAATATCATATAAAATACCATACACAAATAAATGCCAATACAAATACGATATATTTTTCGACATACTCCTATTTCATAAATTTTGACAGACTCAAGCAATGGAGATTGCTTTTGTACGTGGCCCGGTAATCACTGTCGTCGTCGTCGTCATTTTTCAAATTGGCTCATCCCATTATTGGATTAACCAATGCTGCTACCCATTATGAAAAATAAAAGAAAAAATAAAGCTCTGAATGTTTAAGCTGAAATTGGAAGACTAAAGGAGTAATTTTCACCAAAGAAAAAAAAAAGAGAAAAACGAAAATCAAAGGCTTTTCTTCTTCTTTACTTTTAATTTTTGGTTGACATTTTACGAGAATACTGTTTTAAGTAATAAAACAAAACTACAATCACTTTATTTGGTTCTACTTTTTCCAATTCAATTTTCTTAAAATTGAATGTTTTATTTTTAGTGAACTTTTTTGATAATTTTTTTTTATTTAATTAAGTTTTTAGATGCACCTAACGTACATATACCTCAAAAGTAAAATAAAAAAATAAAAAAATAATAAAAAAATAAATTTTAAAAATCAATAAATACATAAAAATATAAAAATGTACTGAATTTTCATATATATATATATATGGTATTTAATGAATTTTTTAAAGATTTTTTTAACACATATTATACTTTTTTTTAACGGGAAATTTTATTAAGGTCCTTGATATTAAGATTTTATAAGATAAATGACATACAATATTTTCATAGTAGTTAATATCCCTCAACATTTTCATAGAGAAAAATTCGATTTAGAGAAATTTTATCCTTAAAATTTCTCCGTGATCATATTAGAGAAATTTTAAAATTTCATTATGAAAATTGAAATTTTTTTTAGTCGGGCGAAATTTCTCTGAGTCAAATTTTCTTTGTGAAAATGTTGAGTGGCCGTAGCTAATAAAAAGAAAAAAAAAACATTTTGAACCTCTCTTACTACATAAAGTTAGATTGGGATGTTTCACTAATTATTTCCTTTTTTAATTGTATTTATATTAAGTGTATCTAAAAAGTAAAAAATATTCTTAAAATATTAAAAAAATTCACTAAAAAGAAAAAATTCAAAACATTAAAAACTCAATTTTCAAAAAATTGAATTTAGGAAATTGAAACCATTTAATAACTATTGGTGCATATTAAATATTGGGTAGATTACAAGTATGCCCCCTGAGATTTTATTTAAAATACGAATCACCCCTTGTGGTTCTAAAAATTGCATTCCACTCATAAGGTTTCTAATTTTATAACAAATAGCCCATTTATTAATAAATCATCAACTCAATTAACAATTTTTAATAATATCATAAATATATTTTAATTATTAATTTATGTAATTTTATTATGATATAGGAATGTAGTTACGAATTTCATTTTTTTAGTTAATTTTGTAAAATAAAAAAATTCTAACAATGACATAATTATAATTTTTTAAATTATAAGGGACAATCATATTATAAGCTAATTTTAAAGGGTTTATTTATAATTTACCCTTTAATATTTTATGGGCATTTATTTAGTTGCATTAGTCTCTTATCATGGTGTTTGAATGAGAAGTTACGGGGAGTAATGGGTTAGTTAGTATTTGGGAATATAAAGTATGGAAACAATGTGTACACACCCTTATGTTTTACATATTTTTGTTGTGTGTTAGGTATTTTTATAATAAATGTTATATAGTTTTTATTTTATTTTATCTTATTTTTTTTATATAAAAGTTACGATGATTTGTTGTTGAGAAATAAAGTTACACAAGTTTGTGATAATGTTACCTATTTTGTGATATTATTTTATATTTTGTGGTTAAAAAATGTTTAAATAAGAAAAAATGTAACATTATCACAAAAACACTTAACACTACCACAAAATGCATAATTTCATTTCTCAATCATAAATTGTCGTAACTCCTACCAAAAAAATATGTAATAATGATCACAAAAATACGTAACACACCACAAAAATATGTAATAAGGTGCATATTGTATACACCCTTGGAGGAGTGTATACCATAGGATTTCCCTATAAATAATCCCATATTGATTGAGAAATTCAATGGTACACATCATTTCAAGAGTGTGTACCATATGCACCCTATTACAAATTAACGTAAATTTATTTTAAAATTTCATAATACCAACCACAAAATGTGTAATTTTACCATAAATTGACGTACAAAAAATCTCGTAATCGAGCCATAAATTTTTATGGCAACGCATTTTCATAATTAACGTAAAAAAATTCTAATAAAATTATACTATTTGTAATAAAATGCACATGGTACGTACACTAAGATTTTCCACATTGATTATATGAAAGAAGTTAAAGAGGTATATGTCTATCTATGTTATTGAGGTTGTATATAACGTGCAAGAAATAGATCAAACAAAGAAGTCAAAGAGCTATGTGTTTATCTATGTTATTGAGGCTATATGCAACTTGCAAGAAATAGATCAAACTCATGGACACGTTGATTGAATGAACAAGTGGAGGTTCAACAGCAGAGCAAATTAAAAAAATAAAAACTAAAAAATAAAATAAAAAAGAGGATGAAAAAGAAGTAAGTAGATGACACAAAGAATGAGCTACATCCTACGAAGCACCAGTGTGGGTATGGATGCGGGTACGGGTACGGGTACGTTGATACGGAAATTTTTTTAAAAAGTAGGATACAGGTACGGCTAGGATACGGTAAATTTTTTTTTAATTATAAATATATAACTAAACATCCAACATACAAATTGAATAACAATTTTTTTATTGTGTCTACAACAGTAAAAAGAGGGCAAAGTTAAATAACAAAGGGGTCATTTTATATTAACCTTTTTTTTTTTTTTTGGAAGATGATTATGGGGAAGGCTCTAAACTTTCAAGTTGCATGAAATTCCAGTTGCTGTGGGGAAAAAAATATAAAATATTTATATAAATATATATCAGGAAAATAAAATAAAATAAAATAAAAAAGGAGAGTTCAAGAAAAAGGAAGAGGAAGAAGAATCAAAGAAAGAGAAAATCAAAGAGGAGATAATCGAATGAAAAAAACGAAGGGAGGGAAGAAGAACAAATCAATTTATTTGCTGCGAAGAAAGAAAAATCTGGAAAGAAAACAAAAGAAAGAGGAAGAAAAATTGAAGAAAAACAAAGGAAAAAAAAAAGTTATCTTTGTTCTTCATTTGTTGTCGGAAGAGTACAAAATCTAGAGAGAGAAAAAAAAAGATGAAAAAAGAGGAAGAAAAATTGAACAAAATCTACAAAGAAAGAGTACAAAATCTACCAAAAAATAGAA